ATAAAATAAAACATAATACACATAAAATGAGCCGCCCCAAGGCTTCGGCGAATGGGGCGGCATAGAAGTCCCCTAAAAAAATAAATAAATAAAATCCAGATCCACCCTGGCTGCAGATTAAAACCTATAAGCTGATATTAAAAGTTATGAAAATATTGTTGAAATAAAAAGGTCTTAGCCTGGCACCGAAAAACAAATAATGATGGCACCAGGCAGACCTCTCTGGGGAGTGCATTCCATAGCCAGGGTGCCACCACAGAAAAAGCCCTCCTTCGGGTAGTTTGCCTCCTAATGTCTTTCACGGAGGGTTCCTGGAGGAGGGCCTCTGCTGCCCATCTCAGGGGGTGGGAGGGCAAATACAGAAGAAGGCATTCCTTTAGGTATCCAGGTCCCAAGCCATTAAGGGCTTTATAGGTAATAACCAGCACCTTGAATTGAGCCCGGACTTCGATGGGAAGCCAGTGAAGCTGGTAGAGGACTGGGGTTATATGAGAATAACGCCCAGTCCCCATCAGCAACCTGGCTGCTCTGTTTTGCACCATCTGAAGTATCCGGACTGTCTTCAAGGGCAGCCCCATGTAGAGCATGTTACAGAAATCCAACCAGGAAGTAACCAATGCATGTGTCACTGTTGCTAGGCAATCGTCCTCCAGGTAGAGACACAGCTGATGGATTAACCGAAGCTGAAGAAAGTGCTCCTCACCACCGCAGTCACCTGAGCCTCCAGGGACAGCTCTGGGTCGAGGAGCACTCCCAAGCTGCGGACCCTGTCCTTCAGAGGGAGTGCAACCCCATTCAGGACAAGGTCCAAGTCACCTACCCAGGAGCTTGAACCACCCACCAACAGGAGCTCCATCTTGTCTGGATTGAGTTTCAGTTTATTGGCCCTCATCCAGCCCATTACCTCAGCCAGGCACCAGTTCAGTACAGCCACTGCCTCACCTGGATCAGTTGAAAAAGAGAGGTAGAGCTGGGTGTCATCAGCATACTGATGATTCCACAGCCCAAACCTCCTGATGACCTCTCCCAGCAGTTTCATGTAGATGTTGAATAGCAAGGGGGACAAAATGGACCCCTGCGGTACTCCATGGCATAGCTGCCATGGCACAGAGCCAAAGTCCCCCAGCACCACCTTCTGGAATCGGCCGTAGAGGTAGGAGTGGAACCACTGCCAAGCAGTGCCTCCTACTCCCAGTCCCGCTAGCCTATCCAGAAGGATACCATGGCCGATGATATCGAAAGCCACTGAGAGGTCCTGGAGGACCAACAGGAATGCACTCCCCCTGTCTCTCTCCCTGCACAGGTCATCATACAGGGCGACCAAGGCAGATTCAGTACCATACCCTGGTCTGAAGCCAGACTGAAATGGGTCCAGATAGTCAGTCTCATCCAAGAGTGCTTGGAGTTGTCCCGCCACCACCCGTTCCAACACCTTGCCCAAAAACGGGATGTTGGCCACCGGTCTATAATTGGCGGCCATCTCTGGATCCAGGGAGATGGATCTTCTTTAGGACCGGCCTGACTACAGCCTCCTTTAGAGGAGCAGGCACCCAGCCGTCCCTCAGAGAGGCGTTAATGACCTCCAGGATCCAGGCATCAATCCCGTGTTTGGCTTTGGTCAGTAGCCACGACAGGCAAGGGTCAAGTAAGCAGGTGATGGGACGTACTTGTCCAACCACCTTGTCCACATCATTGGCCACAATAACTGAAATTCATCCAATAATATCTGACCAGACGGAGACATTGGCACCTCCCCTTGAGGATCTGAATCACTAGTGGAGTCCAGCTCGTGACGAATCTGAATGATTTTTGCCTTAAAGTGCTGGGCAAAGTCGTCACAGCGGGCCATCGAGGGTGGTACGGATCCTTCTTAGGGCCAGGATGTACCAGCCCATGTACCACTCGAAAGAGCTCCGCTGGACGGCACTGTGAAGAGGCAATGGCAGTGGAGAAGAATTTCTTCTTCGCTGCCCTCACCGCCATAGCATAGGCTCGATAATGAGGTCGTAAGTGTGCTCGGTCAGATTCATACCATGATTTCCTCCACCTACACTCTAGATGTCTCCAATCGCCTGTAGTTCAGGTGTATACCATGGGGATGGACGAGCTATGCCAGATGGGAAAGGACGCTTAGGAGCAATCGTGTCAATAGCTCTGGCCATTTTCCCATTCCACAGTTCAGCCAGAGCATCAACAGGAGCACCAGATTTATCAACCGGAAACTCCCCCAGAGCTTTCAGGAATCCATCTGGATCCATTCGGCTCCGAGGGCGGACCAACACAATAGGGTCCGCACCCTTACAGAGGGAAAGGCCAGCATCGAGCTCAAACCTCACGAGGAAGTGATCGGACCATGACAAGGGAGTCAGACATAAATTGCTCACCCTCAGATCACCCTCTTCCTGCCCTGTTGAGAAAACCAGGTCCAGTGTGTGTCCATGGGTTGGACCTATGACATGCTGAGACAGTCCCGTGGCCGTCATGGAGGCCATAAAGTCCTGAGCTGCCCTGATCAGAACAGTCTCGGCATGGAGATTGAAGTCCCCCATAGGGTTTTGACAGATGGTTGACACCTGTTCCCCCTTCTGGTTATTCCCCAACTGGAAGGTTCCGGGTATGCTTATCAACCGCCCCTCGGGCCTGACGGTGCTGTTGCTTAATGCCATAACAAAACATCCCTATCCACAACTTAATTGTGGATGAGGGGGCCGACCTGGCTTACATTACAGAGACCTGGGCAGGAGGGGGGGGATGTGTCCCTCTCTCAACCTTGCCTGCCCAGGTATCTGGTCCAGCACCAGTCACGCCCAGAGGGGAGGGAAGGGGGGGTCGCTTTAATCTATCGAGCTTCAGTTTCCCTTGTGGGGCTTCCTGTTCTCTCAAGACCGGGTCTAGAATGCCTTTATTTGGTGTTGGGCGACCGAGACAGATTGGGGATTCTGCTGGTGTACCCTTCTGCCCATCAGACTCCCTGCCTGAGCTGACGGAGATCATCTCGGACCTGGTGTTGAAGACCCCCAGGATGTTGGTCCTGGGGGACTTCAATCTCCATGCTGAGACTGTTCTGACCGGGGCGGCCCAGGACTTCATGGCCTCCATGATGGCCATGGGGCCGGATAAAGGAGCATGGCGGGCTGTATCCAGCCTGCAGGCCGTAGTTTGAGAACCCATGTTCTAGAGCCAGAGTTAGGGCCAATGTAGTTTGACTACTCAATGGCAAGAATGAATACTCATACCCACAGGGAAGATTGAAGCGCCTTGAACCCCAGCATTTTTACTGATCACCCAAATCCCAGTAGTTACTTATGCCAGCATGCTACCAGGCAGTGGTCTTCACTGCCAACTACAAAATCACAGCCCATGTACAGAGTATTAGGTTTCCAGATAATATTGAAGTAATAGTATCTCAATGTCTTCATACACAAAACAAAACTCTAAACCAATCAGAAATGCCTGTGACAACAGAATAGAAAATTTCCCTGACTGAGCCTTATTGACAAGTCAATTCAGTTAATTCCTGACAGTTTGGCACAGCCTCTGTCACTGCTTAAACGTGCAAATGTATCTCATTAAGAAACCACTCAGGAAAACTGGTTTGACAGCTACACTCTGTTGTGCCTCTGTTGAACTAGATGATTTAAATGGGTCAATTCAGAAACAAATGAACACCATTGTCTCTGCTCTCTGCAGCTGATAGGAACGGGCATTTCCCCAAGGATAGTGTTAGCCTACAGTAGCTTCTCAGTCCAGCTAAGAATTCCATCTTCTTAAAGTAACAGCAATGCTAAACAGTAACCTGGCTCAGAATTTTGCTTTCTGAGAAAGAGGCACAGGTTTGATTTTGTAACACAAAGGCACATATAAACAACATTTTGCTATCAGGATCTGTCTGAATTTTCCCAACACAGTTTTGTCCAGTTTTTTATTTATTTATTTTGCGATTGTTTGTTTGTTTGTTTATTTGGAGAACTTATATACTGCCCCATTCGCATAAGATACTAGACAGGGATGTCCTCTTTCCTGATTGATTTAAGTTTGGAACCACTAGCATGTGCTATGTAACAAGAAAATGTTCATGAATTTATGCATAATGCCTTATAATAGAAATTTATTATTTATGCTGATGATCTACTGTTTATTTTGGATCTCCATCTGTCTGTCTGGGCTTTGATGCAGACAATTAATGATTTTATAAATATATCTGGTTATTCTGTTATCTGGTCAAAATCCAAACTTAGGTCTATTAGAAACAATATACCTCAAAGTGTATTATCTGATGCACAAATCAATAGGTAGAACTTTCATTGATTAATTCATGCAATCACTGACATGTAATCAGGCCTCAGAAAAAACCCTGTTTTCTAGAAATCAGCTTGTGCGCATCCTTGAAAAGTAGCTGACACTGACTAGGCACCATTCCAGAGAAAGCTAGTTGGCACTTGACAGATAACAGCAGCTCAGACAAAGGGCAATTCACATTAGCCCACCCCATCCTCCTCCTCCTCCTCCCTTCTAGAGTCAGGCATGACTGGACATAACATCAAGGGGGAACCTTTACCTTTACCTTACAACTTGACAGGGTGTGGTACATGTTATAAGTTAAAATCACATGGGCAAACTAGGCAAATTATTTGTGGATTTAGGAAAGCCAAATCTTAAAATCTAGCTTCTCCCACATAAGTTGCCACAACCACATTCTTAATGTCCTGGTCCAGAAATCTCAGCTAGTGCTATTCATTGGGGCAGATAAGGCAAACAGCTGAACTTTCTCCTTCACTATCTTCTGAAATGGCTTGTTTTTGTGATTCGTGATCCCGTTGGACTAACGAGCGGGATATTTTTTCTCTTCGTGCACGAAAAGCAAGCAGAGGGCGAAAGAAGCAGGGCACGCTCATTCAAATGAAGGGGAAACGAAAGTGAAAGGAGAGCCGACTTTCCTCTTGGAGGAGTCAGGCTCCGGGTGCTAAGCCCGAGAGGGAGGAAAGCGACGGGTTACACTAAGTTTACGCAATTGCACAACATCCCGCGAGCAAGTCAGCAAAGGGTGGAAATTCTTTTCTCCACTATGTGAAGGCAGTTGCGAAGGGAGCTGTGGAAAGTTCCCTTTTGTGGCTGAGCCCGAGGAAGTGCTTTGTGTGCACAAAAGCCCCGTGGGGGGCGTGTGACTGACAACTGCAACACGGCAGCAGCCCCGCCGGTGAAGGAGGCGCATCCGCGGGATCTGCAAGGCGGGAAGTAGTCTGCGCGACAGCCTGGCGCAATCCGCCCTGCCCGCGGAAGGACGCTTCACGTGGGCTGAGCGCAGGGTGGAACGGGACGTGGGCGCCTTTCCGTCCTCACGTCCGGAGCTGGGACGTTTTGCGAGGAGGAGGAGGACGGGGAGCCGGCAGCAAAGAAACCCCTGCAGGTGTGCTCGCGTGGGAGAAGGAAACCGAGAACTCGGCCGCCTGTGCGCTTTGCGCTCCTTTTCCCCCCACAACTGTGACAACGCTGAGAAGAAGCGGCCGGCGGGGGAAGCGGAGGAAGAGCACGGTCCGGAGCGAGAGCCGTTCAGGCACCAGGCGCGCGCGCTCTGCACCGTGCACGGGGACGGCGGCACGTGTGAAGGCGACCCAAAGCCGCGAGTCTGCGCCCGAGGCCTCCCCAACTCAAGCGCTGTGACTACGGGTGCTTTGTGACTTCACTCGCTGGGCTGCTCACAGCCCCTGTGAGCGAGCCCGTGTGGCCTCGCCTGCCTCCATGGTTGGCGGCGCCGGCACCGGGGACAGGCAGCTGCTGATCCCGCGGAGAAGCCGCTGGTGGCGCAGGATGCCCTGCTTCACGGAGGGCGCGGCCCTCATCCCGACGCTGCTGGTCTCCTGGTCTTCCGCCGCCTTCATCATCTCCTACGTGATCGCTGTCCTGAGCGGCCATGTGGGCCCGCTGTTCCCGTACATAAGGTGAGAGAAGGAGGCGGGGCTTGCAGGAAAGGGCGCCCCCTCCTGGACGAGTTGGATTTGCGGCCCCACCTGGGAGGGTGTCCCTGATTTGAACGTGCGCTTGGAAAAGGGCGCCTTGGCTCAGCTAAATCAAAGCGGCAACACTTTTCGGGGGTGCGACGGAAGGCCCTTGTTTGAATTCCCGCTCGAGACGAGGAGGCTACAGCCCCCTGCATGTAGAAGGCTAGTCTGTCAGGGAGAGGACTAAGTGGAACTCTTTTCCTAGATTTTTTTTTCTGTGAAGGGGGAGTTTATATTGAGGGGGTGGGGGGTATTCAGGCAAGCAACTGTGCTGCCACAACTTGAAAATGATCCGGGAAAAGAAATTTTATTCTCTTTATGGTAGAATCTGGCCTAGGAGGAGGCAGGAATGTGATGAAGTGGGCTGTGGTAGCACTCCAGTAGTTCTGCTGTAGAAGAGGAGCACAAGGGAAAGGTTGACATAATGTGCAAATTCTTGATAAAGGTGGCAGTTTCGCATTTCTTTTGCTTTTAACATGGGAAAGCTTCAAAAGTGAAATAGTACACGCCACTCCATGCTATTGCATTTGCCTCCTGGCCTGCAAGGATGCAAATTCCAAGTTTAGACTGTGAACTTACTTACACTGTGCTCCTAAGCATATATGTGGAAGCAAGCCACATTGATCTCTCTTGTCACTCTTTCTCTCTCATTGAGTCGTTCTCTTTCTTAGCATTTTTTAATTCAGATCTTTAACAAATTTTCGCAGCACTTCAGTTTGCAAAAATACATCGCTTGTACAATCAAAACAAAAACAATACACAGTCACAAATGGAAGGACAGAAATGCATGCATAACATCTTATAGCAGTCCATATATTTTTAAATATGCTGACTAGATGTTCTTGTATACTGCTGTCAGTGATAGCTGTGAGATTGCACTTTGACAGCTGTTGGATATCACAAAATGCTGGAAAAACTACCTGCTGCCTCCAAGAGGCATCCTGCTGGGCATTGTCAGAAGGCCTCCCTGCAGCATGCTGCTACCCAAGGCTCTTCACCTCTGAAGTTGTGCATTAATTAGCAAATGCTCACAGTTGCGCAAGTCCAGATAAGAAGATTCAATAAAGATAAACATTAACAAACACTTGTTAAATTTTAAGGGGAAAAAAAGGCACACAAAGACGGCAGCCTGTCCAAATGTGTTGCTGGGGCACTTTGATGGGGATGTTCATAGTTGTCAAAACAGGGATCACAAAAACTGGATCAACAAATGGATTTCATAATCATAATGCAAAACAATAAAGTGTTAAAAAGTCCTAAAGAACCTGAAATGTCTCACTGTGGGAAGGGGGGGGGGGAGCCAGTGCCAGCAGTCCTAAATACTGCTTGGACACTGTGGGGGCAACAGACACTGGCTTTCCATCAGGAACCCCATGTCAAGAACAACAAGGGGGTTTTGCTGATCATGATATGGACTAGCTCACCAGTTCTGCATATCCACAATAGGATTGGTCATCTGTGGTTGGAGAATACAAGAACCCATCGTGGGTAGAACAACCACTACAAGCAACCCATGGAATGAATTGGGGTTCACATGACACAACATCCTTCTAGTGTAGCAGCCTACAGTGGGTTGTCAAGCATGCAAACCCATTCAGTGATGGGGAAAACAGCACTTTGGTTCCTGACTCCTCCTCATTTATTTATATAAAACATTTGTATGCCGCCCAATTGTGCCATGGTGGGGAAAGGCAATTTTAAAAATTTTAGTCATGGTGTAGCCAATTTATTTATTTATTTAGGATTGGTGGGGTTTTAATGTTTGTAAACCACCCAAAGAGCCCTCTGTGCTGTTGGGATGGTATATAAATGCAATCAATCAATCAATCATAAATGAATAAAAATGGATACAGAACCTCATTCATCCCAGAGCCTGAATTCTTTCAGAGCTGTTTTCAGGAGTCATAGGTTTACATTCGAATGATGGACAGACTGCAGGGTCAAGGCCTAAATATAAAAAATACCAACATATTTTAGCATACAATTTTTACTGCCAATAACTAACCTGAAGGAGAGGTACATTTTAGCATGCACAAAAGCTTGAGGACTACCAACCAGCTGGTAGATTTGGGGGAAAGATGATATGACCATCTGTGGAACTGAGGTGGGCCAAATTTGGCCCTTAAGCACAAGGCTTTTCATACCTGCTTAAATAGCCTCAGGATGGACAGAGAATCAACAGTGAAGTATTTCTCATCCTTTCACCTCCCTGAAGCAATTCTTCTGTGGGTAGGAATGGGATCTGCGAAGATGTGAAAAGTGGGAGGGAAAGGTCCACACAGGTATTTGTCACCCCTGGCCTAACACCCGCTTTATTTTTTATTTATTATTATTGTTGTTGTTGGTTGGTTGGTTGGGTCTTAGATGTGTTAGAGCTAATCTTTCCCTCCCCAGTGTGCTTTTGTTCACCACTAGTTGCTCTGTGTGAAAATATAATTCCTGAGATTTTCCCAAATGAAGACACCAAACACAGTTCTCCCGGGAGAAAAAAAATGCTATGGTGCAGAGTTTGCCATTCGGCTGATAATGCTTGTCTTAAGAAAAAAAAAGAACCCATTCAGTGATTCCATGTCTGATGTTACCGTTCTGTTCACAGCAGCTAGTAAATAGGATTTTCCCCCTCCTTCATACCAGTTCCATGTGTGTTAGCCTCACTTTCTAATAAGCTGCATTTGCACCCATAGGTCATGGGAAGATGTCACAGGAAGCTGCCTTACACAGAGTTAGTCTACTGGCCCTTCTAGCCCATAATTGTCAACAATTTTCCAAGGATACAGACAGGATATTTTCCTGCCCTACTGATGTGCTGCAGATAGAATTTGGCATCTCCCCTTTTGCCCTATAGGAAAAAAAACAGCTTTTCCTAGCCAAGGCTTGAGAAGTTATACTTTATAGCTAATAGATGAGATGGGGAGAAGGATTGTCAGCACATCTTGTATTTCTGTGCAACTAATACATATGTGATAGATTGCTTACATTTGTGTTCTGTGGCAAGGTCCCTCTACAGCAGAACTAAATGTTTCCAGAATGACATTTTACCACTTATCTTGGATTACATTTTTTTCTGCAGATTCTATGCAAAATCCCCTTTCCATCTCCTTTCCCCTCATTACTTCTTCATTGACTCCAGAAATTTAAGAGTAGCTGCTGTGATTGAAGAAGCCCTAAGTAGTTGTTTTGTGGCTGATACATGCTCATTCATCTTGAATGAAAACAGATGAATGCATTTAAAGCGTTTACTTGCTGTGGTATCTTCAAAACATTTATCTGTGCCATGCTAGGGTTAAAGGAATAGACTGCTAACTTCCATATAGCCTGATGTGCCTGATCTGCTAAGCAGGGTTGGGCCTGGTTGATATCTGGATGGGTGACTTAAAAGTTGTTACCTGTCCAGAGAGCTTTGGCTACGAGTGGTATAGAAATGTAATGATGATGATAATAATTTGCATGCAGCTGAACTAAGAATTAAAAAGAGGTATCTGTTTTTGTGGTTTTACATGGATGAGTGTTTGGAGCCATTTTGAGTCTGTCACCTGAGATGAATAAATCAAGAGCCCACAGCCTTTTTGATCTTGTGGGCATATTTAGAAATTTGAGAACTTCTTTTGAGCGACTCCACAAAATGGCTGCCACGAGGAATGTGTAGTTTCTCACAAACAGTTATTGTGGAGGCATGCTCAATCAATAGTGTAAGACAGAGACAGGATCTGACCATTAAGCACAAATTCTCTCCTTTGATCCCACAGGTTTCAACTCAAATAGAAAGTAAATTGCTTCCCCCAAATTTTCCCTCATTAAATTATTCTCAAATCAATTGATTCCCCCAAATCAGTTTACCCCAAAACTAATTTCTGTTCAATTATCTCTCATTTCATTCATTTCTCCAACCTCCCACACCTCTTTCTGTGCCAGCCAACTCATCTTTTCCTCAAGCTCTTCTGATGCCCGCAGATTCATACAGGGCTTGCCTAAGATAATTTGCCACCTGATACCTTGTTGGGCACCTGCACCAGTCATTTATTATTTATGTATTTATTTATTTATTAAAACATTTCTATGCCGCCCCATTCACCGAAGCCTCAGGGCGGCTCACAACATTAAGTTAAAATACAAAAAATAACAATATAAAATAAGTCGCCCTGGCCAGATAAAATCAAATAATATTAACAATTAAAATGATGCTTAAATAAAAAGGTCTTCGCCTGGCGCCGAAAAACAAATAACGACGGCGCCAGGCGGACCTCTCTGGGGAGCGCATTCCATAGATTAGGCGCCACCGCAGAGAAAGCCCTCCTCCGGGTGCTCACCCTCCTAATATCTTTCACGGAGGGCTCCCGGAGAAGGGCCTCTCCCGCAGATCTCATGCAAATGTATGCTTCCCCTCTCTTTCAGCTACCGCAACTGCACTTTTCTTTTAGGATCATTGCCTAACAGTTAACACATACTCTGTCTTACACACACACAGACACACTCAGATATCATTTGTCCTCCCAGGCACATTCTCCTCTTCTGCACTCTTTTCCTCTGCTGTTCTACCTGTTTATATCTACCCAGCCCTGGTTGCGCTGCTGTCATCTTTATTCATCTCTATGATCATTCTGTTGTCCTCCCTTTTAGCCGTGGGACCAGAGGCAACCTGGGAAAATGGCAGGCAGAGGGGAATTCAGCAAACACTATGCTTTACACTGTGCTAGGTCATCCTACAAAAAAGGCCCCCTGTCCTTTTCAAAACAGATGCAAGGTGAAGGCATAGAAGAGCCACAGAGGGTCTGTGAGTACCACTTTTGGCAAACCCAGAATAAACAAGCAAGTGCAAAATGGAACAGAACTTTTATTTGCAGTATTTTACTGTCTTTAACCTTCATTTCAATCATTTGGGCTTAAAAAGGTCATGAGAATCTGGCCAAATGCTAAGGTTTTTGGAGCAGGAATTTTGGTTTGGTGTTATCTTTTTTCTTAACAAAGTAGAAATTGATTTCAAAGATGAATTTTTATTTTAATGCTTTTCAAGTGTATAATAGAGATGAACATTGATTTTAACAAGTTGTTTTAAAACCATTTATATCTTAATTGCACTGTAAGAAGCAGGGTGGGAAAACCCCCATTTTACTTATTAATTATATGAAACTTTTAACAATGCAAACTATCATAAATATTCTGTATTCTGTAATCATATGTATAACTCATTAATATGATAAAAATGAAAGTGTTCTCTAATACATTTGGAAAGTATCAGAAATGTGGTGTATGGCATAGGCTATTATAGCAAAAGATAAGGCAGTACACCGAGATTAATGCCAGTTAATAATTAATGACATGCCCATTTTGGTAACTATTTAACACATTTCTGTTACTATCCTTAATATTCATTTATTTTCTAATGAAAACCCATCACTCCCCCATGTTGGTATTTGCCCCCCAGTTAGAAAAAGTATACAAGCACTGGCTTCTTATAGTAGCTTTGTGCATCTTTCTAGATCTGGACTGAACTTACTTAAAAAGAAATGGCGATATATTAACTTCTCTCTGACATAATGAATAGATTGCCCTGGCCCTCTTTTAAGTCAGTATTTAAAGGATAACTTTCTTCCAAATTCCATGTTTGTGAAGCTACATGAGAGGAAGTGCTGAGAAATCCTTGTACAGTTTGTTTCAATGATATCTCTCCTGACTAAAACATTCTTGTATTGCTGTTAACAAACTCAGATATGTTTGGCATGGAACTACCCCATTTCTGTAGCAACATGGACTTTCCCCTCATAGTCATATGACTTGAACAATATCACTTTACTTCCTTTTAAAACTGCTTGCGTACTAAATATTGACTATTGGCAGTGATGATAAAAGCAAGGATAGGAAAACAGGCAGATGAACATCACATGTTAAAATATAAGAATAGAACTGGAAGTAAAAATAGAATTAGAATTTAATTTAAGCCAGTGCAAAATTACAGTATCAGAGGTATCAAGCCTCTTGTACACCCATTGGTGGAAAAGGTAATTGGCAGGGTGCTGGTATATCTTTACTTGTGGGCTTCCCGTGGCCAGCCGCTTGGCCACTGCGCGAACAGAATGCTGGCGAGATGGGCTGATTCAACATGGTCTGATTAAGAATGGTTCTTACGTTCCAATATATAAGGTTTCAGTACAATCTATATTCTCTGCCTAAGAATCATAAGACAAAGAAAAAAATGATCCAATCAAAATTAAGCACATGTAAGCCTCTTTGATTTGAAAAGGAGAGTGAAATAGATACTTAATCTTCTGTGGACTCAGTAGGTTGAAAATATGCCTTATTTTGGCTGACTCAGACCCACCAGTTGTTGTTTTGTTTACCTTGTTAAACAAGATGCTAACAGTTAACTAGCCCACAAATAACTTTATTGACCTGTATAATGTACAGATATTAATCAATTGTCTAAAAGGGGAAAAAGTTTGGCACATCCCCAGGAGAAAGGGGACATTCAATTGCTTGTCTTTTCCAGCTTGTTTCCACATCACTCTCCTCCTATTTTTAAAATCTGTACAAATATCCATGTTAATTTTGTGTGCATTTCTCCATAAAATACATATTTTTCTTCATTTCCCTGAATATAAGCATGTTTGTGTATATTTGTAATGCCAAGAACTGCATTCTAAAATTCAAAGTGCAAAATGAAAGGATAATTACATTCTGATCTGCATATTACTCCAGTAAGTTCACTTAAAAATGAAGTCTAGATTAAATTCTGCACCCCCTACCTGAAGGTAATTTTTACTTGCCAGATCTTACAGGTTTTTTAAATCTGAGTAGTTATTGCAAAACATTTGCAAAATCAGGTGTCCTTTTTATGCATGGGCAGTTTAGCACAGAAATGGAAAATTTAAAAAAAAAATGGAAAAGAACACAGCAGTTGTTCTTTACTAGCGTATCTTCCAAAGCCTCTAACATGAGTGAATGATATTCAGGGCAAGTTTAGTTATTTGGAATGCTCTTAAAATATTAAGTGTTCCTAGAAGAAGTTCACATTGTGCATTGGTCCCATGTGAAGATCCCATTTGCATTTTACCTAGTGCTCTTCAAAGGCACTGAAGTAGTTGCAGTTTGCTATAGCAGTATTCCCACTGAACTACTTCAGATTTGCAAGAAGTGGTACACTTGGAACGTAAGCATTCTGCTGCCCATAAGGTTTCTCTAGGACTTATTTCTAATTGCTAATGCTCATTTTAAAAAATAGCTAATATAGATTAAAATTAAGATGCTTTTGAGAAGTCCTTAAATGAAACTTGAACTTTGAAAAAAGTAAGGAATCCAATCAACAGTTGGCATAAGGAGGGCTAATTTGGGCCAAACTACCCATGACAGAGAAGACGTATGACTGCATCTCCTGTGCTGTGTGTGGAACTTCAAAGTAAACTGCTCTAAATTGAATTGGATTAGCACTGCCCTGATTTGGGGGGCATGGGTTGGTGGCAGCAGTTTCGACATGTGTATTACTTAGGTAGAAAAGGCTAGATAGGGTAGGGAAGGATTAAACCGTTTCTTCCTCAATGCTGCTTTAGTGCAATTCAGAATCCCATGTGGCTCATTTTAAATAAAAATGAAATGATTGGATCTCACATCATGGGTAAGTCGGCCCTTGGTCATGGTGGCAGGTTGCCTTCTGTCATTCCAGTACACTGCCTAATAGTGCTGCCCGTGAACTGAGTATCCTGGTTGAATATGGAAGAGCTGAGTGTGGAGCTGAGGGAAGTAGGTTTTAATTCCTAGTCAAATTTTTGTGTGAAGCTTGGATAAAGCAGCCTTTTCTGCTTTATAGAATGGCTGTTCGGTTGTTTCCAAGGAAGGATATGGGTATTTAAAACGTGTTGGCTATTTCGGAAATTTTTAAAAATAGTTTTGTCCTCTTGTCCTATTTCAAATTTCCTGTCAACCATGAAGATATTTTTGGGTAATTCATCTGTAAGCAAAGACAGCAAGATTGCAGAGTGCTATGACAATATTACTGTATAGATTCAGCAAGAAAAATGTGCACGCCCGCGCACACACACACACACTGATTTCTATGTGGGTGTGACCTGCTAAAGTAGGAAGCATGCATGGAAAAATCCAAGGCTTTAAGCACTTGGGGCTGAATATCTAGAATAAGCATTGAGAACTATTGATAAAACACCAACAGCTATTTGTCATTATGAGTTATGACAGCTCCAGTCTCCAATTAGGAGTACTGAAAGACAGAATCCAGTTATCTTTTTCCCAGTCTGTTCCCACTAGAAATTGACTAGTGCTGCCAAGATTGATAGTATCAGCCACCTTTTGGTTAGCTGTGCTCAAACGTTTATGGACATCCCACACGTGAATGGGAATAGAGAATGCATATCTCTAGCTTGAAATCCAATGCACTCTATCAGGTGTTGCTGGTTTTTTACTGGTCTACATTGACCAGTAAAAAACCATAAATTACCATAAACAATTTATTTTTTATGGTAATTTATAATTACCATAAACAAATTTGGTAATAAGAAGAAAATGTGAGATGCTGCCTCAAATAAAATGCAATTTATTTAATAATAATTTCAGTTTGTTTATTGTTCACTAACCAATCAGACTATAGACATCAGACTAAGAACGTAAGAACAAGAAAATACAAAATAACAACATAGAGAATTAACCTGGACATAATAACAAGGTGATAATGATAACTTAATGAACTGCCCACAGCTGTGTTTTGTACTAGTTGTTTAATGAGAAGTAATATACATGAAAATTACTGGGAACATTGCACTGAAATTTAATATGCATCTAAATATGCATCAGAACAGCTTTTCTTGGAAGTAAGATGAATAGAACAAAATTGAACTTTCTTCCAAGAACATATGCATTGAATTAGCCTGCTAGTTTCATTCAAGACTGTAATCTTAAGCATAGATATCTGGCATGCTTTAAGTAATTTTGTTTGAAATTTGTGGGACTTACTTCTAAAGTAACATGTTTTGGGTCATCTTGTTAAGCTCTTATTTCTGGACAATTCATTGATGTCAGTGGGATTTGCAAGTTCTTTTGAATGGCTAGTGGTTCTCTCTAAGTAGGTTTGTCTTCTTTATTTTAGGAGCATGAACATTCCATGGCAGAATATGTAGTCTTCTCACTTAAAATGTAGCAATTGTCATTATAGTTATTAATTTAATTAGATGCAAATATATGTATATTAAAATGTGTTTTCTTTTAATTTGTATTAGTGATACAGGAGCAAAACCACCAGAAAGTGGTATATTTGGATTTATGATTAATGTTTCTGCATTCCTAGGTATGTACATGTTATTTACATTAACATTTTAATCTGTTTCAACTGTAGATTTGGTTGGGTATAAGAATTGCTTATAAAACTGGCATGTATTTTCAAACAGGTAAAATGATGAAAATTATTACATATTCTCCTTGCCACAAGTGAGGAGTAACCATTAGAACTGATCCCAAAGCAGCAATTTTAAATGATTAACATGCAAACGAGGTTGATGCATTTCCTTCAGGGTAACTTCTAACACTTGACCCTGGAGATACTGCAAAAGAAAGTTGTCTTTTAGTAAGAAACCTCCAAGAAATGACCATATTGACAGTATTAGGGAGAAGGAGAGAGGATAGCTCCCAAGAGGAGAGTAGGTGGGGAAGGGTTAAAACCAAGCAGTGTCTTTTTCTGAAGCACTGATTTACAAGTTTAGAACTATAAACTGCATTGAGCCTGAAATTAAAGAACAATTTTTGTTTGAAAACCCCTACCGAGAAGGGAAAAAATGAGGAACCAATAAAATATTGCATTATCATTTGGTGGAACTTCCCAAAGAAGCCTGACTGAGGTTTGCATGTTGAGCTGTCTTTTTAATTGCTGCTTATTTTGCCAGCCATTGTCTTTGAGTGTAGCTAGTCACAAGTAATCCCCTCCAAGGTCATCATGCACAATTAAGATGGCAGAAGCTAGAAGCTCTACTTTAAAAAAATCTCAGATGCCAGTGAAAAAATATTATACAAATAAAAATTGGGAGTTCTGTCTTGGAAGATCGGGGAGGGGGGGAGCTATTGATGTCTTCTGGAAGTAGGAAAAACAGAATGTTTAGATGGTCACCTGCAAAGATTCCTTGAATGAGAAATTTCCAATTTTGACTCAGTGGTCTTATGGTATGTTGGACTGTATGTCCTACCTGCTCATGCAGGGCTGTTGTTTTTTCCTAACAATATTATTCTGGTTTCTCTGGGCAGACTAATTTTGCCTATATTACTTTATAATAGAGTTGATTTGATTTAAATTGCTAGTCAGTGAGACTAGATTTAACTCATGGTTTGCACACGTGCCTCCCTTAGCCATACGTAGAGGAACTTCATTCCCAAACTGGGTCTCTTTTACCGCCTGCTGCCATTATAGGTTTTCTCCTCCAGAATATGATAAACCTCAGGTTATACACAAAAAGATCCAAAGACTGGTAGAGTATTCTCCTCACAAGGTTTCACTTTCATTTTTGCGGCTTGCCCCTCCCTCCGCACACTTTTCTTCTTGTACAGAGCTATTTCTCTCCCAACAATCTTTTCTGTTCATTGAATTTTTGAAATTTAGCACTTAAGAGGCAAGGGGTTGATTCTGTGTACATAGATTTGCAAAGGAACAGTGGGATTAAGGTCTTTTTCTCAATTCTGTATGCTTTTATAACATTTTTGCTGTGAAGAAGCAGCATGTGATGTTGGGTTCCTTCCTTGGAAAATTGTTCTAGTTACCTGTGCTGAAAGAAAAAGACATTGCCACCAATTTCTTTTCCAATTGACTTTATCTTCTCTGGTCGCTCTGATCCTTCTCCCTGGATGGTGATTTCAGAAGAGTTTCCGTCTCTCCCTCTCTCCCTCTCTCTCTCTCTCTAATTTACTTAGGGCATCACAGTGGTAGGGAGCATGTATAGTCCCCACCTCAGGTGACCCTAACCACTAAGAATCATTTCTGCATGATACTATCTCTTCATCTGCTCAGGCTTGCTCCTGTTTCCTGTACACCTGAATAGACAGACTGTTGGGTAATTGACTTTTTCTGTTTCTAAATATATGAGATCATCTTTTGCTCATTGTATTGTACTGAAGAACACAGTTTGGCATGTTCATTATCTGAGCTTCATAAAGGAGTACGTATTTTTTCTTCTTCCTTATATAGTCAGGACCAAACTGAGTTCTTAATGCTAGATTATATGCTTGCAGTCCCTGAATAATACACATTTTCTCTATTTTAGGTGCAGCTACAATGTACACGAGATATTTAATTGTAAAGCAGCAAAATGAAATAACACATTTTATTTCTCCTTGTTTCAATTTACTGGCACTGTGTGTTGGAGTAGTGGGTTGTATTGGAATGGGCATCGTGGCAAGCTTTCAGGTAGGTCCAAAAAGTATATGTTTACATTTTAATGTATTAAATTAATATGCTTCACCCTCCAATGATGTACAGGTAATTAGGAATATTATTTGAGCAGTATTTTATACTAAAACATTCTAAAACCAGTCCTTAAAAATAATTTAGTGTAAATGAAACGCCAAAAATCAAAGATTCTTACTGCACGGTGATTCTGTCTTATCTGGAGTTAGTTTCCAATTCTCTTCCAGCCTATTACTGACTCCAGATAACTGTTCAGAGCCTCCAGAATCTCACTAAAGTTTCAGGAGAGGGAGAAAAGTGGCTCAACTTCATACTGATGACACTAAACTCCAAATCTTTTAGTGGGCTCTCCCAGCAGCTTAATTTAGAAGTAAAAATAGCACACAAAATAGAGCTTTGTAGCACTTTACAGGACAACTATGGAAAAGAGCAAGTTTCCTACTGCCACTTTCTGGAACTTACCTGAGAAGCAGAAATGGAACCACCAAAGAGCAGTGCCTCCTACCCACACCTTTGACAGGGAATCCAAAGGACTTTTTGGCAATAGTTCGTTTTCAAAACATGGTCCTTTTATGTTCCCACTTTTTGGCTTCAGACAGAGTAGGAATGAAAAATAATGAATAAATATAAAACTTAGAAGATTAGTTTTTGAAAGCATTGCGATGAACTAAGATCATGAATATGTATTGGGATCCATATAGTGCACTGTAGGATATGTAAAAAGGCCTTACATCTGTTTCTCTGGCTGGAATTAAAGGTAAGCTGCTTGTTGGTTAAATCCAACATTCTGTTGGTTGCTTCTTTTAGTAAAATGGCCAGATTATATTGCTAGATGTACTGTATGTCTTTCCTTTATAAGTAAGACACATCAGTGTGAAGTTAGCAAGCAGAATCCACCTTCACATACTGACATTTTCTTTCATTTGCTTTTAGATGCTGTGTCAAAAGCTTATACTTTGCAGGAATTTATAGCATAAATAAATTGGAAAGGAAAGATAAGGTGGTTATTAATTCTGCAATATAATGCAAAAGTTCTTTAGAACAAGTTTAGGCAAGTTGTTCAAAAAGAACTGGAAATGCATAAAAACCAAACAAAAAACAACAACAAAAAACCCCACCCTCTGATTCAGAAGGCACAATCTTGGATCAGTAAGCCATGGCTATTCTGCAGAAAATAATTGATGTATAAAATGTTGGAGAACAAGGCCTGATTATCTAGGAAGTTTTCTCTCTGCTGGAGACATACAAAAAGTTTTGAACAAAAGCACGTGTAATATGTCAAAGTGCCACAATTTTTTTCCAGTCCCTTCTGCCTGGAGCCCTGGTACGAAGAACACCGCTTCATGCAAATCCATTATTCTGCCATCCCTGTTGTGTTCTTAGTCACTGTGTCACCTAATATAAGAGATCTGTTTAATGTGTGTTCCCTAAAGAGAGCACACTGTTGCTAGAATGTCAGGCAACTTCCTGTGCTTGTGACATAACTTCCTATAGCAGCCAGACAGCATATTTAAAGGCTTTGCGTTACTCCATGCAACTAGGCTGACATGGCTGTATGAGATGTCCCGTGATCACTTCCCTTTTTAACAGATTTTCCAGTCAAATCCATGGGGTTGCACTAAATAATAATAATAATAACAATAATAATAATAATAAAGTAATAAGTAGTAGTAGTAATTGCATCAGTATAGTGCTTTTTGCAATTGGGATCCAAGCACACATGAAATTCCTGTAATTCCTTGTTCCAGTAGCTTACAGAAATGACTGTATAATTGCATTCTTTCTCCCTGACTATAGCACACTTCTTTATTATGGAGTATTTCTGAATGAACTGAAATATGGCTTGCTGATCTTCAAACAAACATATTACTAGTATTTCTGAATGAACTGAAATATGGCTTACTGATCTTCAAACAAACATATTACTAAGATAAGACTTTGTACCAGATGACTAGAGAATGTTCAATTTTTAAAAAGGGATCCAAGGGGAATCTGGGTAATTATGGGGTGGTTAGCTTACATCTGTTCCAAGTTAATTCATTTAAAGCTTTATTAAATATAAAATTAGTAATTATATAGAAGGACAAACCCTGCTAAAAAAGAATCAGCATGGGTTTTGCAAAGGTAAATCCTGTCTCACTAACCTCGTAGAGTTGAGATTGTCAGTGAGGGGGCCTGAAGAGGACAAAATAAAATTGGATTGGAGAAGGGAATAAGCAGTAAAGCTGAATTTTTTGTTAGGCTTCACCAACTTTGAGTATGGCCTCTGTTGTAAACTGTGACATAAATATAATTGACATATAATAAATAAAAATGATTAAAGGATGCAGCTGCATGTAAGAAACAGAACATGATGGCCAAGTATTTAAGATTAATAAGCCTACATGCATGCATGGTTTATCTTCAAGCACTATGTAATAATAGTTCTTTAGGATGCAAATGATTTTGTTAAAGGTATCAGTGCTTTTTAGAGAACTTCTCAGAATTCCTGGAATAAGCAGACTAAAACTACGTAATATATTACTTCAGATTTGTATTGTAGGGAGCTCTAGGCTGAGAGAATTAAGATGAGATGAGAGCTTACTAAATATACTTCCAGTGTCTTCTATATACTTCCAGTGTCTTCGTAGCTCTGAGATCCTGCAGGGAGATGAAAGCCAACAAAGATAGGAAGCTACTTACTGGGACCTGTTGAATTGTTTAGTTAAGACATTCATCTTGAGGGAGCCCTCACTTCAAATACCTGCTCTCCCAGGAGCTCTCTGTGGGGAGACTCACTCACCCACATGTTTTTCTATTGTTGGTGCTTAGGATATCTGCCTCCCCCCTCCCCCAAAAAAAGCAGTTGCTAGGCACTGGCCAATGAAAATTAAGGGCATATCTGCACAGAACTTCTTTTAGTGATCAAGTGTGCTGACAACCCTGATAATGGATCATCAATCCTTATCTTAAGGGTGCCAGTTTATTGCCATCAAGGTCAATGTAGGCTATACCTCCCTACTTGTTCGGTGGAATGCACATTCTCCCCATTTTCCTTCTGCAAGGCAAACTCTCTTGGGTTGGAGAGGCTGCAGTTTTGACTTGCAGAGGAATCATTCTGTGTGATGTAGAAAGTGAACGGAACTCTTCTCAGTGCTATGCCATGAGCTTGCTTATTAAACCAGAGCCAGATGTCCTTGGAGGTTTGTTTGTCCTCTGTTTCAGCATCCTTTTTGTGCATGTAGTAATGGTTTTCCAATTGATTTTTTTTGCAGGAGCTAGCAGTTCCCGCTGTCCATGATGGAGGCGCTCTTGTGGCTTTTATCTGTGGTGCTCTGTATATTGTGCTTCAGACATTCATTTCTTACAAGTCACAGCCACAATGGAGCACTCCTTGTATGTGCCACACTAGGCTGTTCTTCTCAGTAATGACTACTGTAGCTGTCATTCCCAGTATCCTTTTGCAGTATAGTACTGTATTCTAGGTATTTGAAGTATGAATAATGCAATTGCTCCTTCCTGTTGTGTTCTGTTCTTGTTTTTTTCACAACTCTTCCTTGAAGTTAAACAGACTACTTGAGAGCCGAAGTTTTAAAATTTACAGCTACAGTATTTCAGTAAGAATGCCAGGTTCTCTTTTAAAGAATCGCTTATTCTGAGGTATCAGCCTTTTGAATTTGTTTACATCTCAGCTTACATAATCAAAAGTGTAGGTGTGTTGGAATGGAAAATAATAGAAAAGAATCCCTAAATAATCAAGGGCTATTAGCTTATATTAGTTATTACTGAAAGGAGGATGGAATTAATGCAATTTCATGCAGACTCAGAACTGGTTTACATGATAAAATAACTAATAACTTAAGCTACGGTGGATTGTGGCATGTACTGGGGTCATCCTGAATATTTAAACCACAACTGCTCCTTGTCACATTGTTCACATCTGGGCACCATGAGTTACGTGACAGTTACAAAACCCATGCATTACCTTAAAACAGGCCATTGTTCAGCAAGGGTTCTTTAATCTTTATATAACCCATGGGCTCTGGGATTGGATGATATGGCTTAAATATCCAGGATAGTGCCTGTGGGCACCACAGCTTACTGTGACACAAAGAAACCATGGAAAGCCTCAGCAGTTGTGCAGACCCACTCACAGAGATCTAAAAATTCCTGCCATGGGACTATTTTATTTTATTTTTTATTTATTAAAACATTTCTATGCCGCCCCTTGCCGAAGCCTCGGGGCGGCTCACAACATTCAATAAAATGCACATTTTATACTATAAGACTACTTAATTCATGTAGACTTCATGGTGCTTTCTGTAGCCACAGTGAGGATATTGATTCACCACCTTACTAATGCTCTTGAAAATATGTGCGGCTATGCCTTTCCCAGACAATAAGAATTTGGTCTTTAGAAGAATCTCCTGTTGCTTGTTCCTTTGGAGGCATAGTTTGGCTGTAGAAGCTTGCATTTCTAAACAGAAACACATGCATCCAGTGAGCTGCATTACAGTTCCTTTGAGGTTACATTATTTATTATTGATTTATTAAATACAGTTTTACCCAATCCAATAGCTCAAAGGCTAAATTCTTCCTTCTGCTGCACAAATATTTGTCTACCTGAATGAGGAATGGGGAGAGGCACAGCACACCTGACTATGCAGCAGCAAGCAAAGGAGCTGGTATTGAAGAGTTGGTTCCATCAGTGTTGGCCACACAGAATGTGAGAACACAACTTTGCCCTCTGAGATTTGCACATGCAGCTTCTGAACTGGACAAGAGTGAAAGCTCCTGGAATGTCAAATCTTGCCACATTTCTGTGCATATCATTTTAGAGCACCTTAACATATTTGAAAAAAAAAACCCTAGCCATTGTAATACAGAAATTAAAAAGCCACAACCAGACTTCAAATATCTGAAGGTTATTTCTCAAATCTAAGTGAGGTACTGACTTCATTAGTGTTCTCTGTCCTGTATACTTGCTGACATGACCATGCACTAAAAGTGCATTGGTATGTAAATCAGAAGTGTAGAACTTCAGTAGCAATTGTCTTTAGAATTCAAATTACCCTGTGCTCATCTGTGTAGGCTCTCAATTATTATTCCACTCTCCTTGTGGTTGATAATATATTGCCTTCATTATCTTAGTGAGGTACAGCTGGATGGGTAGGGAATAGCTTTTTTATAAGTATTACATTTCAAACCAGTTATTTCCTTTTAACACTTCTTCCTCAGTGATTACATGTGCTTCACTAATATCCATAACAAAAATTGACTGGAATCCAGGTGAAAAGGTAAACCCTCACTAGGTAAAACATTTCATCCTTCTGCCAGCTAGGCCAGCATTTCAGTATTAACTTTAGTTAAGCAAAGTAGGAAATAACAAAAATTGCTGATGGATCTGAAGCTAGACAGAGTTCCTTCAGCAAGCTGATAATGCAAGTTATGCAAGACCAAGCGCTATTTTGGGGAATCATTGTTACCAAGGATTCTGTGTGGCTTGTGACATTTATATTGTTGTACTAGTGTGCCTGTGTGGGACAACTCACTATTGTCCCACTATTGAACTCACTATTTCTTGACCCTTAAGAATTCTGTGAATGGTTTTTCTATTAGTGTATGTTGCCTGAGGCATAGGAATCTTGAATATGCTAATACATTGCTTGGACAAGGAAGTAATCAGATACTATTTGGAAAGGGGGTGTTCTCTTCCACCTCATTCTTGGATGTTGAATGGGTTAAGACAGAAGTCTGTGACAGTAGTTGCAGCTGGAGACAGAGGCCAGGTTAACATGATATCAGAAAAATAAACCATTGTGGGTTTTTTCCCCACTGCCACAGACTCTGGGCATGCAACCTGTAATTTTCCTAATTTTCATGGCTTGCTGTGTTGTCTGAATCCAGTGAGGTTCATAGCAGGGTTGGCTTCCAAATGACTCAGCGCCCATGGTTTGTTGTAGGGTTCTGGGGTGGTTTGGAAGCTGTCCCTCTCAGCTCACCGCAGAGGGTTTGGACAACATGGCAACCTACACATCACAAGAGGAATTAGGCAAATTGCACAGTGTGACTGGCTTGTGTGTGAGGGTGGGGAAAAAGGAGCCATCATAGCACAAGCCAAGTTAGTGAGATAGAAAGGGAAAAAGCTGGGTTGCAGCTCTGGAAGCATCATTAAGGAGTAAAGGCACCCCTAGAAACCTATTAGGGAAACAATTCCGTGGGAGTGCTAATGCTGTGAATTCTGTGTATGTATGTGGCTGCATATGCGATGTCATAATGCTCCCGTAAGTCATTCTGAATGATTAAAGCCCTGGAGCTTGCATCCCTGGAGTTCTGCTGGCTGGGAAAATTGGTGTGTGCATGTGTAAGTTCTCCTTCCTGATCGGTCCATCTAAAAAGCCAAGGGATACATCAAGCTAATTTCCAGAACAAGAGGAAGGTAGTGAGCACTTTGCCAGAACTATTAGCAAGTCTAAGGCTCTGAACATGTTTTCCTCTGGTTTATGTGTGTGTGTGTGTGTATGCATTTCATTTCTGTACTAGCCAATAGCCAAAGTTCTCTGGGCAATTCACAGTAATAGAAGAAAACTCATGATGGAAAAAGCACATTCACAGAAAACTTAGAGGCAAGAATACATGAGAGCAGGAATATGTTGGAACCTTCTCCCTCCCCACCCAACCCCAGCAATGCCATCTAGAATAACCCTTCAAATTTAAAACAATATGAGCAATCTGTAGAGAGAATAAACATGCAATATCTAGGCAAGGTAATGTTAGTGTTAGAGAAATTGAGAGTGAAATGAGATTTCTTTTTAAGTAAGCACCAAAGAGATCATTTGAGTATATATGGATGTAAGAAGCAGCAGGATATGGGTACAGAGAGAGATTGCAACTCCAGATAGAGCACTGGGGTATATTCAGTGTTGCCTATCTCTGTCCCACTTCTGCTTGCTCATTCAGCCAGGTTGCCGTGACTTACTGGAAACTCCTGTTGGGTTAGCAAGTGGAGCAGCCAGTAAGGAGATTTGCCACTTCATGCAGGGAAAGTAGTAATGCTTTTTCCCTGCCACAGTGCTTACAGTAGCCAAACATGATTGTATGGGTCTCTGCTGTTACACTAAACATTAAGACCTTGTTTGCAAGAAACAACAACCTGTTGATTTAAAAATGTTGGGTTGTTGTGCATTTACTCAGCAACCCCCAATTGGCTCAGCAATTGGCTTCTGCTGACTGTGACATTTGGACCTAGACCTTTGGGTTGTTTGGGGCAGTTAACCCACAGTGAGTTGTTGTTATATGCAAATGTATGGACCAGGTTCTGAGGTTTCAAAGAGTGTGTTTGTGGACTTGGGACTGCCGTTGGCTTGTTATTTCAGTTTGGGGGACAAAATGGTTCAGTGAAAGGGTCTCTCAGAACCAGGAGCGAGAAACTGCATCGCTGTACTTTTGAGGCTGGGCACGGGCTGAAGCAGTACAAGAGATTCTGTATCAATCTCAATTATCCTAGCATGGGCAGGGTTTGCAATAAATGAAAGAGAAGGGAGAACTTCTTGAAGTTGAGTTCGGTGGCCATGACTGCTCATTTCTGCTATATGCATCAACTGAGGATAACATTTGATGCATCTGGTGTAGTGGTATCTATTTCATGAAACCTTATACTATAATACATACGTTAGTCTTTAAGGTACCACATAATTTTTGTTTGTTTTTGCTGAAACGTTTTTACATGGCTACCCTCCTGAAAATGGCTTATTTTTAGAAGCACTATTTCTCTGGTCATGCTATACCACAAGAGGGAGCACTTTCTTTATGAATCTCACAAAATAACGGGGGGGGGGGGGTTTGAAGCCTTGCTAATAGTGCCTAAACATGCCATTTCCCTTAAGACAACAAAAGGACAACAGAAAGAAGGTAATGCATAACAACTCTGTTTTTAACAATATATTCATTTGCTTTGCTTGTATCATTACACAGTCCTTTTGTTGAGATAGGTGCTTTGTGTTGCTTTGTGTTGGCAGCCAATTTCTTCAATTTGTGTTCCATCATACCTATTGTAATTCATTCTGCAGTCTTTTTATCCTTATTAAGCTTACACTGAACATCCACTACCCATTTAAACTGAAACATACAGATTTCAAATCTGGATTTAGTCCCAGTGGATTGGAAGGGCCATTGGTGCAATACAGCAGTTGCATCAATGGTCCATAGGGAGCCAGCTCTTTCACACTTAAAAGTACAGGCAGGCCCTGAGTTATGAACATCCGAGTTACAAAGAGCCTGTACGACATGCCATAAGGCATATTAATGTTTAAAAATTACTATGGAAAATCATCATCATAGAGAGGAAGCAAAAGGAGAGAGAGGGAGGCCTTTACAGCATGCCTTCTTGCCCTGCCCATCTGGAAAGGGAAATCTCTCTGCCATTTCCTTGCTGCAAAGAGATGGTGCTGGTAAATTTGGGTGACGGGGAGAGATATTAATAGGTTTTCCACTTTCCTGGGGGTCCTGTGCCCCTAACTCTCATGAATGTGGAGGGCCAACTATATGGGATCCAACTTGCATACAAATTCGACTTAAAAGACGAATTTCCATTTTCTGAGGGACAGAACTCATTTGTAACCTGGAGACTGCCTGCACTTGAGTGGGGGAAGAAACACAGAAAATATTTGTGGCTATTTTTGTGTTTGTGTAAGCTCTGAAGGGGAGTCTCATGCATGTTTCCCACAGTGGGATGAGCTTCTAGAGTTGCTTTGTCTTACTATGAAGTGATGAAAAGAAGCAGTGATAAAACCACTATTGAAGAAGCCAGTTTTAGACCCAAAGTCATTTGAAAATGGATCTTCAGAAAAAGTATGGAAGTATGGAGGCCCTTCAGAAAAGTAGGGAAGGTGGCCATAAGGTGGATGGGAAGCTTCAAAAATCACATCCTGCCATTTTCTACTGATGGGAGTCTCTGCTAGATCAGAGATCCTTCTATAAGAAAAGAAATTCTTTTCTTACAACATTGTGCTCCCGGCATATACATGATGTCCATATAAGTGACTTGTGTTCTCTTTGTCATTTCAGACTGTTTAGGATTTGATGATGTGTTTTTATTTCTTTTTCTCCCCATTAGGACTATGTGTTTCATTTTGTGAGTGCAATCTGTGAATGGACAGTAGCCTTTGGTTTTGTTTTCTTCTTCTTAACTTTCATCAGAGATTTTAAGGTGAGTGAGATGAAAGACGATTTCTTGTTCAGAGAAAAAAACTTATGTGGGTCACACTATACAGCATGAAAAATGTGAAGTTTCTTTATTTGAAGATAAATTAACCATGTAGTCCTGGTCCAGAATGTTGACCTAATTTGGATGGGGTTGGGGGAGGGTTGATCCCATTTGCCATTGCTTTCAGTATACAATACCTTCAACAAATAGCAGTGCTAGGAAAATTTTGGGTAAGAATCCACCATTGCTACACTGACAGGGAAACGCTCCCATGGAGGCAAAGTTGGGTCACCCAAGAGAGCTGGCTTTCAGCCCCCATCTTTCATTTCTGTTCCCAAGATTCTTTTTCACACATCTGTAGGAAAGTACAGAGCCATCACCTCCAAGTGAAGTGGGGAAGAGAAGCTTTGGAGCAGGAGAAGGGAGTTCCATATTCAGTGCTGGACAGTTGACCAATGGGAAGAGCTGGACAGGCTGGCCAGTGGACAGTTCTTGCAGACAGAAAAAGGATCGTGCTGACATTCCCCTTCTCTGCCATTGCTGGGTTGGTGGGGGAGACAGCTTGAGCCATGTTTCTTGCCCCATTTCTACTTGCAGAAATCAGGCACAGTTGTTTGCTATTCTAGTATCCTTAGTCCCAAACTTTCTGAAAACTTTCTACCCAGACTTCATTGCTAGTTGGAGCAGTAGAAATGAGCATGTGAAGAACTGTCAGTCATAGCCATGCATCTGCAGGCTTTTGAATTAGAGCCTCAAGATTGTGGTGTCAATTTTATTAGCTTTGGTCATACTGTTTAATGGTCATTTTCAGACATTTATGCCTGCATCTATTCTCATGCCTGTATATTTAGTGCCTAACATTTGTTATATAGGTACTTCATGATGAGTTGCTGATGTTTGATTGTTATTTCCTCTTTGTTCTAGGGAGTTACCTTGCGGATATCAATAGAAGTACATGAAAGATTCTAATCCATTGTTATGATTAGGTTCAAAGAAGCTGGGGTTGGGAGATCATTGTTAAGAAATGGTTGCACAGAAACCAGAACAGTCAAAGACAATGGGATACAAACCAGCTTCATCAGCGCTGCAATTTGTATAATCAAAGCCAAGGAAAAATATCTTTCATTTTATCACTTTTCTGTACTGTATCATTTTCTTTTAAACTGTTCTAAAACTTTTTTTATATTTTTAAAACTTTTTGACATTTATTTTTCAGAAGTGAACACTAAAAAATAATAAAAAAATGTCACACTGGCGAACCCTGAAAAATGAATTTAAAAAATATAGTTACACTGTTCCATGAGTAAAAAATCTAAATTGCAGCAGGTAACAACACAGATTGTGCTTTGCTTCCAGGAAGAAGAGGAGATGCTTGTGCTTTTTTGGTATATAAAATGTGCCTGCCTACTTTTCCTTTTGAAAGTAAACAATAAAATTAAAGGCTAGTATTGAAATGTTAAGATGAATGAAATATAAAGGATGAAAATGACTACTGAGCTGTATATTTCAGGGGAAAAGCTTTTTGTGGCTTTTTCAGTGAAAAGCATGTGACATAAAATGTGTAAATATGATGCTTCCCAGGTATATGGTTGAGAGAGAGAGCAAGTCCTGCATTTAAAAGAGCATTGTTGCAGGAAATGTGTAGTGTAGGTGGTAAGAGAAGATAATTTGAAAGAAGGGGGAATTTGAACTGCTTCTTTTTGTGTGAGCCTATAAAGGTCTGCTCAGCAACATACCCCATTGAGTTCAATGGGACGTATGAAATAAGTGGGCAAAAGGTTAATGTTGATTAGGAAAGCCTTTTTCTAAGGACATAAACATTGTAGGTGGCTTTTCTGGTCTGTTAGAAAGTCACAGGATGGTCTTATGTTTTTTAGAACCAACCAAATGATCAGGGTCTGAACAAATTTGCAAGAAGGGGGGTGGGGGGACATTATTATAGCCTTTTCTAAGAGTATGTTTGTTCCAAGTCACCTTTCCATGTCCTAACACAGAAGAACAAGTGGCGCTAGAGTGAGCCACACCTTACCCTGTATGGTGACCAAAGTTATTTGGAACTTTTGCTGCCTGCTTCTCCTATAGGATTTTATTCTTGGCTTTCATTCTGTCCTCACCCAAGGCCTTCCTTGGGGAAATGTGCATGTGAGTTTTCCCTATCAAACCTCAACATTCTAGTTCATACACCCAGGGTTAGTTCCACCACAAATAAAACAGTCCAGCTAAAACTGTGTACCAAAAATGCAGGGGTGTCAGTGCATCAAAAGTAACCGTGATGGTGGATGCTGTGCTGATGCGATGCTGGTGAGGGTTCTTCCCCTGCTGCGTCTACAAGTGGCCATTTTAGTCTGGCTCAAAGGCCATCTTTTATTTCATTAGCTTCTAGAAAAGGCAATATTTCTTGTATCAAAGCTTTTACCAAATTTGTACCTCACTGATTCTTGTACAGTTCTGGAATTTCTATGAGCTGGTTCACATGTTCACCCAGACTAGAATCCTCTCTCCATTTTGGAGTAGTGGAGTTATGCTCCTCCTTTGCAAACAAGAAGTGATATTAATGATTCCTAACTCACAGGAAGGATGAGAGGGAGGCTACCCAGATCATATTGCATGTGCATAGGTAGAAATGCTTGCTTTCCAGACTTTTATAATTCAGAAAGATTACGCCTCATTTTTCTAGGCAGAAAACAGGCTAAAATATTTTATTTTCATTTTACTTCTAGTAGGAAAACAAGTTAAAATGCTTTCTGTACACTGCCTATTCATCTGTATGTATACTTGAAGTTCCCACTTATTTGCAGGATTGTTCCACATAAATGTATCAGACTGCGACCCCTTTGATCTCACAAAGACAACTTCAGAATTAGCATGCACAGATCTAGGTTGCTGTGATTTTTAAAAAATGCTTTCTTTTCTGCACAGCAGATGGCACTAATAGGCTACATTTGTGGTATGCAATGCTATATAAATCCTTGAACAAGAATTTACTTCCCTGGGAAGAAATAAATGTGTGGGCAATTTGAATTTTGATCAAATAGACAACCACAAGAGGAGTTGGCTGGTTTCCCTGTGCTTGTGCTATAAAGCAGCTGCTAATAGGAATGTACACAAAATTCAGATAGAATATTAATTTCGGCATAGAGTTACTTCACTAAAGTCTTTTAACATTAAAGTCAACTGTGGCTTAATGACAATAGTGGCTCTCTGTTACCTACAGTCCTGTAATAGGTGTTAAGCCCAGTTCAGTTTAAATTCTGCAGAGCAAATTATTGTGACAAGGATAGGCGTGATTAAGCCAAACACAATCTTCCAACTCTACTGTACCTCTCCAGGTGCCTGAAAACATATTTTTCAGTGCCAGGCTCTTGGGCAGAGCTGCTGGGCTTGTTTTTCTGGGTGGTTCACCCAAGTTATGCATATTGCCCTAATATTCTTTTTTATTAGGGCTGTTTCCCACATCCAGTCTGTAGATCATTTCACATACATGTGGACTCATGGCTACTAATGTCTTTCCTAAACAGCTAGTGCAAAGGAAATCTTTATGGAGCTTTGTTTTGGAGGTTACCGGCCTGGAAATATTTGTTATCCCATGCAAAACTGACAGATCTAGCCTGTTCTTGCCTTATTTATCAGTTTCAAAGCATGGATGCCAGTGTTAAGCCTGACGTACCTAATTCCTTTCCTTGTGTAAACTGCCCATTTATTCCTACCCTTTTATTTCCTGTTGTTTCCAAACCATAAAGAGGACTTGGCTTTGTATTCCATGGCTGCTGTCCTGCGAAATCTCCTCCAGGGCCTTGGGTAAGAAACTTTATCCAAATCTTTCTAAAAAGCCATTGACACTTTTATGCAGTGGGCCACCAGTGCCTACAGCAAGTTTGTTGACAATCTCCCAAGTAATTCCAACAGGCTGAAGCATGATTCTGGCTTACATAAGCCATGTTGACTGTTTTTCACCATGGCATCATTATTCAACAGTGAAGAATTGTTTGACCAGAATGTAGGAGAAAAATTACTGAGGTTTATGCTCTTTATTTATGGAAACAGTACCTAATTGGTGTCTGCAGAAGTTTAAAGCCCGAAACAAAAGTCCTGTTGAGTTACTCATCTCAGCAAAAAACATGGGGACTGTTGTGCCTTGAGTCAAGCAATTCATATTTTAGGCCATGTGCATGCACACCTGATGTGGAAATGGTTGATTTCTTCTTACTGCATAAGGATCCTTTCCTATTTCAAGAAACTGTTTTGGTAAGCCCAGGTGGATTTGTGTCAGCCAGCATAACCCGACTATCCAATGCTGGGCTCTCACCATGGGGTTTGCATATGGAGCAGAAAGGTGGTAGAATGAACTGGTGTGATTCAGAACATCTTAAGTGGGGAAAAGCACATTTTTAATCCACTTTGTAAAGAAATGCCTTACAAGAAGGAAACAGACCCAGCAGGAAACAGATGAGTCTAAAGCCTTGTTTTACTTGCTGAAATGTTAAACAGGATCTTGGAGACCTCTTTTAAAGGTCCATGACCCAGTAAGTAATAGCATACAGCATTCTAAAGCTTCATTCTCCTGCATGCGAATGTTACCAGACATACTATAAGTTAGTATAATTAACAACACTGTTAATTATGTAGCACTGTCATGACACATTCAGAGTTCAATGGGCAAAAAGAAAAGTCTGCTCCAGACTAGGTTTGACAGTGGATGTGGGGGGCAGCAGAGAAAGAAGCGAGGACAACAGACAGTGCTGAGTGAAGCAGCTGGCTCAGATAGCAGATGCCATGGGCCAGAAGTTGTGGAAGGACAGAGCTGTGTGTGCCAGCTCAATGGCCAATGCTGAAGGAAGATTCAGCTCAGTCTGGACCCTTTGACCTGCACAACAGGATCCATAACAAGGACCTAGTGATCCAACATAGGCATCTCTGATCGAAAACTGTCTGTAATACAACTGATTCTTGCAGCACCGACATGGAAGAAAACAGCCTGCACTTCCATCCCACAGGATCCACTGAAAAACCTACAGTTCTCATATTGTTAGTGTGTGTTGCTTTTTGGAGTTCATATTCTATTTGTACTAGTTTTCTTTCTTTGGTATAGGATATTTATTTATGTATTCGATATGCTGCCCCACTAGCCATAGGCTCCATTGGAGATACCAATGTGACCACCACATCCTAACTCAGCACTTTGAAAATAGGGTGCTGCAGAAGTAGGTTTGTACAACACAGTGGTGGCAGCAGATGGATACAGGTTGATTCTGTTCCACTATTTAGAAATGTATTTTCTAAGTAGAGAAATAATTATACCAACATTGTTTAGCAAAACACTCAGTTTATGAGACCCTAGAGCAGTGACTTATTCAAGTTCCTGGGCTCACTACAAAATACTGTTCCCTTACATGACATTTAGAGCTTCTCTTCAAGGTGGTTTTATTGTGCACTTGTGGTTCCTTATAAATATTTACTGGTTCTTTAGATGCCTTGATCCCCCCCCCCACCAATTTCACTTCTGTTTTTTTCAGAATGCTTTCCCTTTGTGTTACTTTCCAATGCAGAAATTTTAGAAAAGCGCTATTTCTCCTTGTGCATTTGAGCTGCTCTGCTATAGCACAGCTCCACCTAGAAGTTATGTAATGGAAAAGTGAGAAAGAAAAAGATCTTTCTGCAGGGCTTGGATCCTGGTTCTGTGATGAAATTGAAGGTGGATTAACAACTTTAGGCAGAAAAACTTTTTTATTGGACAGATGCTGGAAGAACTAGTGACTTGATGAGGTCCTGGGCAGCAATATGAAAATCAAGTGCTATCTCATTTATCTGAAGCTGCTTTTATTTCCTTGAAGTACCTCACCGCCACATGCATTATGTAGCATTAGAGCAGGGACATGGACTGATGGCCTAAACATTACATGTACGTAAATGGGTATAATGAAACTTCAAATGGCTTAGCAGCAGCAGCATGGAAGAAGTCGTCTACAGCAGATGCTGAGAGATTGCGGGGTGGGCACTTAATCATTCCTCACCCACCTCTTTGCCACTGCCAATTTCCCCCTCAGGGTTCTGCACTGCTTCTGGTGACTTGGAGTAGCAAAGAAGTAAAGGATGAAGCACATGCACACAACCTTATCCCTCATTGCATTTCAACAGGTTTTTGTCTTCCAAAAACCAAGGACGGCTGCCATTCTGTTACGTGTTTAGTTGGGCCCTAAGATCCCAAACCACAAGCTCTGTGAATTTAGGCAAGTATAGTTACAACCTGCCCACTCTATCCACTTACATAGACTCTTCATGTCTGTTGCTTTGATCAGCCTTCTGATCCTCATGGGCGAAATAAAATCACCAGCTAGCGCAAATGTGTTGCAGTGGAACAGTAAAAAAACAAACAAACCCCCACTTGGCTCCTGTGGCAACCTCTGGAGAAGCTCTTTTACATTACTGCAAGGAAGGAAGATGAAAGAGGTGAAAGAAGGACAAGCTGTAATCCTCTGGAGTGGTCTCGTGGGTTCTTGAGTTCAAAAAAATGGGTTATATTCTCCTTCCCTGAAGACATAAAAATGGATTGGCAGCTTTGAACTCCCAAAGTATTTAAACTCGAGGCTTCAGAATGATTCTACTGATCCAAAGTGAGATACGATTTCACTTGAGTTTCTCAGCTGTTAAGCAAAATGCACTTTCTCTCATTCTGAAAAGGAAAGATGGGAAAGAGCTGGACACATAAGGAAGAGACAGTCTCCAAAAAAACAAGCAATACTTCTCTCAAGACGATGTAAGCTTTTCTTTGACATTTCTTTGCTTTGGTTCTGGGGCACATAGTTGGCAGTATTTTTGCTTCTTTTGTCCACTGTCGTCATTCTGTGTTACATAATATTCAGTTCACACAGATTGTCCTGGCAAAGAAAACAAGTATAGCAAGCTAGTATTAGCATGTGGTTTTGACTTGCTTGATCCAAAGCCATCTTTCTTCTAGACCGTTAATATTTTTTGTACCTTCCTCCATTTTTCTGTCTGAATCTGTTGCCTGACCAATGTGAACCCATGCAAGTCTTTCTTTTAAATCCAGGATAGCCTCAAGTGTCCTACTAAGGAGATCCTTAGCTTGCCCTTCTAAAAACAGTTGGGCTTCAAACTAAATCGAACACTCCTGTCTACCTGAAGCACAGATGTTTGTTTGTTTGAAGGGTGACTGCATTGGTTTTACTAGCTTTTCAAAGAATTGATTTCAGAAGGGAGAGAGCTTGTCCCTCACCACTTTCAAATGCAACATTTCCTCTTGCTATTTTTGGCATGGTTTGGATCACACCCAGATCCAGATCCACATGGCCAACCCAAGGCCTCTTCCTGCTTGAGACAAAGAACAAGATCCCTCCCCCCCCACCCCACCACCACAGACAAATGCTATGTACAGAAGCTAACCAGGCTGACAATCAAATGTCTCTTCCACAGTGGCAAGGGGAAACTGCCTCCAAGGGCAGCAGGCTAATTTCTGGGGCACAGGGAGGGCCCCCTGCACATGTAGCCCAGGGAATAGCTAGGGGACTCAGGAGTAATGGCTTCAGTCTTCCGCCACTATCCCCCTGGACCTGTTGCATGAGGTGACTGCTTCAGTCTGCCTGATGGGAAGGCTCAACTGATAGAGATGACTATATAGTTAAATGATGGAATTTCCTACTGCAAATCTCAGCTTGGGTGCCTTTCAAAATGGATTAGACAGATTCATGGAGGGTAAAGCTAGCAACGGCTACCAGTCTGGTTGGCGACTTCTGAGTTCTGCGCGTGTCTGAATATATTTGCTGGAAATAGGAGGGACGTGATCTTGTCCTGCTGTTGGTTGGCCCCTGTAGAGCACCAGTCAAATTTGTTTGATCTGATGCAACCAGATGCTGACATTTTTATGAGTAATAGTCTCCACCCATTTCTCACCCAAGAAGTAACTATCAGCTGTTGTCGTTGCTGTTGTTAAAGAACTAGTTCATTATGGCAAGTGATTTCTTTCAATATTCAGGATATTTTGTGCTTTCCTTATCCCCATCTGGGAAGTTTGCACAAATGCCAGATGACAAGTTCTGGTGATGGGAAGGGACAAGACATTTCCTGAGAACAGGACCAATGTCAAAGGTAGGCATGGTTGGTCACGGGACGAGGACCCACATCCTGGCAGAGGTCCCTTGACAAGGGCCTCCAGAGTTGCTCCTCTTCCTTACTTTTGTCACCTGCTTGTCAACCTGCCTCTCTCCTGGCCCACAAGGAGGGGCACTAGCGGATGCCACTGCTGGCTTCCATGCCGGTGCTCTGTCTATCAAGCAAGCAAGAGGTAGCAGTGATGAGAAAGAGGAGGCAGAGTAATGCAGGCAAGTGGGAAAGGCTGTGAGCAGGTCGGCTCCCCAAAGGGAGGGCAGCATGAAGAGTGTGTTGTCCAGGGGCCCTCAAACCCTGAGAGGCATGCAAAATAAACTGGGCATGCCTCGTGTGCTGGAGTTTGTATCCACTGAAATCAAGGCCATTGGACCCCTGTGTCTTGACCTCCCTTTTAAATGCCTAGAGTATGACACAATCTTTTTAAAACAAAAATCGAATCAAAAAATCTTGCACCTACTGCATCCATCTTAAAAAGACAGAGTGCTTTTCTCCAAGGCTAAATGTTCCTGAGTCTTCTATGAGCACTTACATGTAGCTGGGAACGTGCAGAATTTGGAGGATCCCTTTTGTCAAATGGATCATCTGTATATTCCAAAACTGAGTCATGGGAAGGCAAATTATGAAGTGAGAAATTGTTGGGATTATGTTTAAAATGCTCAAAGAACAAGCTCTGCTTTATTATTATTATATTATTGAAGAGCAGGTGCTATTACTTAATAAACTGGATGAAGCAATACATTTTCCTGAGATTAGAACTTTGGTTCCCAGCACCAGAATGATTTCCACTGTTGCATTGGCAGGCATTTCTAAAACATTCCTAAAATCAGGTGGCTGGCAGTGGAAAGAAGACTGAAAAGACAGCTTGTAGCTTCAAAGGTTTTTCTACTGTAATGGACTCCTTATGAGCCATATTTCTGTTATTGTCCAAAGAAATGAAGAACCCAGAATAAGTTCCACCTTGGTTTGATTTCAGGAGCAGTTGCTCTCATGGTTTCAACACATCCTGCAAAATAGGTGGGGCAATACGCTTGAGCTTCTGTCAGTTAAGTTCAGTATGCAAGCTTTTGAATACATGGCATCTTTTAACTAGCGTTGCTCATTCCAGAATTGAACCTTAGCTGCCTGCTTGCCTGGCTGGCCCTGCTGGGAGTCATGGGGATCTTTTCCCTGGCTGAACTTTTGCAGTACTGCGCCTTGAGTGATTTGCTGGCGGCTGGCGGCTCCTTGTGCCATGTGCGCTGACCCACCCGCCTCGCTGCCGTGCCTCTGCCGTGCCACACGCGTCCTGCTGCCAGCCCTGCCTTGTTCTAGCTGCAGGCAGCGAGGCGTGTTGGGCTGGCCCTGGCCAAAGCCACGCATGCAGGCCCAGCTACTGCCTGGTCTACTCTCTCCCTGCTGGGAGCGCCAGGAGCTTTTCCATTGCCAAGGACAGTTCTCTGTTTGGAGCCATCCTCCGTTTGCCCAGTCTCAGTCCAGCTTGAAGACCAAGAGCCTCGAGAAGGCAGTGGCAGCAGGGGCCTGGAAGTTCTCATCCACCGGTACTGCCAGGCCAGCAAGCAGAAAAGTGCACAAAGAGCACACCCTCCACTGACGTTAGATGCA